AACAGCATTGCATCACTTGCGGTTGCTCAAAATATGCGTGAGCTTTACAGGCTGGTTCTAGTTGATACACCCTTAGCACCGTACTTCTCAGAGTGCATTACATCTGAGGTAAAAACTTTGAAACCATTGTGCTGTCCATTTTTGTTGAAATGGTTAAGTATACCTTGGTATGTCATGCGAGCTTCATGTATATTGTGTAGGATCTGGATGACATGAATATTGAGATCATGAGGAACACACTCTACAAAGCGTATCTTGAGGATTTTTACAAATTTTGCGTGGTATGTACTTCTGACTGAAAATGTTGTTTTGCCTAATTGTGTTTGGTTTCTAACTAACTTCTTCGCAACAGAAACTAGGTGGTGCGACGGCTGAGATTATGTGTAATCTCCTTTCATTTGAAGCTGACAGAAGAGCTGTAAACATTACAATAAACAGGTAAAAAACTAAACATTTCATCCTTTTGTGTGACAGATCTCCATGTTGCCATTACATTCACAGACATCTGACTGCCAATTTCCTTGTCATGTTTTTTCAGTATTGGTACTGAGCTGACTAGAGATGACCGCCGCAAGCTGTACTCCAACTTTGGTCTATTGTAGGTTTCCATTGGAAGTAGCACTAGCATTACTTTTAGTTAAAATATGCCTATTTTTGCATGTGGTTATAGTAATCTGATGCTTCCAGGTTTCCGTATGGTCATGAAGAGTTGGCTGTCTGTGAAGATGTTGACCAGGTTTATCCCCTGCTCTGCTTTTAAGCTCAATGTTGGTCATTCTACTACATAAATATTTTCAGTTGTCTAAACACGAAGTTATCATGCCATGAACTGGTTCACTTTATTACCTAATTTTGTGCATATTGCTCAGTATTTCAGGCTTAAGTTCTGTTAATATGGTTATTTCATCATAAAATGTCTCTTTCAAATGTTTGTGATAGGGCCATTGATAATAATTAACTCCTCGTGAGGTCTTTTAAACATACCATGCGCCCTAGGCTGAACACTTCCTCCTTAAGAATGGAGAAGCTTCATACCTACCAGTCACCAGGGTCAAGGAATGGGGTTG